TCCACCTCTTATCCTTCCGCGGGATGAGAACCCGAGATGCCCTCCTACAGATACAAATGGGTACCTATGCCGACGGCGCAACCTGTTATTATACATTCCCCTATACAAACAACGTGTTAATCGGGCCCGCACCCTGGTTGCGCCGCGTACGAGCCTCCCTCCATCGCGAGCAGGATATCGGATACGCGCCGTGGAAACCGATTTATCGATCGTTCCGCGTACGCTTCTTCTCTCCTTCGCGGGCTGGTATCGCGACGGTAAATTGGAATACACCGGGGCCCGTTCCGCTCGCCCGACTCGACTTCGACGCGATTCTTGAACCTCCGAACAGTGATTCCGACTGTTTTCGGCCGGGTCCTCCTCTTTTTTGCTCGTCGACCCGTGTTTGAACAGGGCAACCGCCGGAGCACACCCCGGAGGAAGGATGAATTACCCAGGAATTTTAGGTCAGGCACCGGATCGCGCATTACTGGCACCCTCAATTTTTGACGGAAAGTTATGGATCCGCGCAAAGGCTCCTCTGGGGTCCTTGTCACGCTTCATTTTCCAAGTTTTATATTTTCAGGAAAGCTGTAGATGAACGTGGAGCTTCCTATTAAGTCTAAGTATTGTATCACACTTCGTGCTTGTGACTCGACATTCTTCGATTCTTCCTAACATGTAAGCAACGTAGTATTATATTCCCTTCCACGTTACACCCGAATCCCATTTAATGTTTGCAACCTGATTCTCCCCTCCAAAAAATGCACCAACACAAGGACCAGACCAGAAACTACGTAATTCTTGCAGGGAAGAACGTAAACTCGAATTTTAATTTCCATTAAGCCCCATTCGCGCTGAATTTTTTGCCGAAACAGTTCTCACGAGTCGCTCCTATTTAAAGCCCGGCCACGCACGCAAAACGTAGAGAGATCGGATCGACGGACAAGTTCGCAGAAGGAGATCGTTGCCGAAGGAGGCCTTCCACGTCGACCTTTATGATTTGTTTACTCGGATCGCCCTCGATGCGATGCAAACCCGCCCATCGTGGCAGGTCAGCACCGAGCTCCGAACTCTGACCCCCGGCTAATTGTTGTTGGCTCTAGATCCCAGATAGCGGTTCGCAAGATTCTGACAGCGCCAACGACACGACCGCTTTCGAAACTTAACGCGAAATATCAATCAGTAACGATGGAAACGCGGCCCGTTCTCCTCCCGCTTCCTCCATCGATATCGAACTTCATTTACCCAACTCTATCATTATTTACCTAACACTGGGTTATGGAGACGTAACGAAAGGTCTCTCGTCGAAGCTATTTCACATGTTAATGGTAAATCTGGGATCGTTACAGAAGCAAAGTCTGGTTTTGATTAGGAGTAATTTGTGCATTGATTCACGAAATATGCTTCTTATGTTTCGATATATTTTATGTTTATTTATATATTTCTATAGTAATAAGCAGGCGAGGACTGTTACGGGATAAAATTCAGATAAATGTATACGCCTTCTGAAGGATCACAAGTGAAGAATTTTGAAGTGATAATCAAATTTATCATTCAGCAAAAGATATCAATGATGCGAAAACTTTGAAACGTGAAAAGAATATCGAAACTGAGTATAGGACCACTTTTGGAATGGAACACTTAAAAGAACACATTTGAGATTGAAGTACCATCATTTCCAAGCCTCGATCCAAGTATGTATTACCCAATTTAAACACTGTATAGCTGAACAAAACGTCGAATTGTTAAAATCAATCGGCTTCTGTTTCTCCTTCGCCCAATACCACCTATCGCTTCGACCAGGTTCCCAACGTCCTCGCGAGAGAGTCGAGTTTGACAAAAACTCGCGTCACGCCCCCCTGGACGCGCGTCAGCGCGATCGAGACACGATCCAGAGGCCGGGAATAGATCACGATCGCTAGAGAAAAACGAGGACCAGCGTTCAGAGGTAGCGGGAGAGAGAAAGAACGACAGATCGGCAGAGGGGAGGTGGAAAAATGGATGGAAAAGAGATAGACACCGGCCATGGATCCAAACGCTATCGCCCTGGCTCTCCGACCGAGAGAGAGACTTATCTACCCGAGCCGACCCTCTCTCCTCCGCCACCCCATCTGGCCGTTTCCGATATTAAAAATATCAGCCAGCAGATAGGCGCTCGGCTATCGGCACTCGAGCACTCGAAGGAACTTCCATTAAAAATAGCTATCTCTATCTGAGGCCGGTACTACAACAACATCGTGGCCCATGCCAGACGCGGGTTGTACGCGCTCCGTCCTTGTCGCTCTCTGGCTTCGTGCGCCGCCGCCGTCTCGCTCGCTCGCGTTGCGTCGGTGGTGGGTGCTTTCGCGGAGAAACGGACACGGAGAACGTGCACGAGCATAAAAACCGGGCTTTCTCAGGAGATACGGGATCTTATCGCGGGCAAATGTTTGGAGCCGCGCTATCACGACGGTTTATCGGACTCCTCTACGAGTCGTCCTCCGCCGTCTGACGGGCTTCTTTTGGTCCTAGTTTTAATTGTCAGGTCCTCAGATCGCCAGGGGCGAACGGCTAAAACGGCGATTCTGGTAGCCGTGACGCGATTCGAACCGAGTTGGGCCTCGGTGTTACCAACCAGTACAGAACGACTTCCCTTGAGTTAAAACAAAAAAAAAAAAAAAAAAAAAAGAAAAAACTCGAAGAGAGTAATCTTCCGAAAATGGGAGCACCAATCAGGACGTACGCGCGCGCCTTGGTTCCGTTCGTCGGGCGAGTTTTATAAATAAAGATACAAACAGCCGGATCGCAAATAAACTTACAAAGTATTGGAACCCCGTGGCTGTCGGTGCTCACCTATAATCTCGATGGCAAACGAGGTACGAAGGACGTGAAGCGGGTAAAGAGCCGACGAGAAGGCTGGTGAGAGGCACGGTAAGCGTACCGGGGGATCGATAGATCGATCCATCGATGGGGTCCCATCCATCGGTAACACGCCTCTCCCGATCGCCTCGTGGCCAGCGAAAGATCATGCAAGGAGATGAACGGAGAGGGCCAAAGGAATCGTCGGGAAACGTTCGAGCAACGTGAAGAGACAGAGAAAGAGAGAGAGAGAGAGAGCAGAGCGAGCCCCCAGGGGCCCCTCGTTGCACAATTATCTCATTTGCCGATCGGACCCTCCCACGTGTTAATTTGCTTGTTGGTTAACCCGGCGTCCCTCTTATCGTTTATTTCGTTCTTGCCTTTCGTGGAACCCTCCGCGCGCCACCTCCTCCTTTTTCGTCCCCGTTCTTCCCTTCCCGTTGGCCTTCTTCTTCGCTCCACGGCCTTCCCTCGTCCACGAAATCGCGCCAACCATCGCCCAGGACTCGCGTCCACGCTCGACGGAACCATGGATGAAACTATAGGGACCAATGGGACAGTCTCTCTAGAGAACAGCTGAAAAGAATGTGAAAGAGCCCTTGGAAAATTGAAGAGAATCAAGGGGAAAAAATAGAATTCAGCAAACAGAGCTGAAGCAACTTCCAAGGTCCAAGGAAAGATAACTCCTCGACGAGGTGTCGATATCGATCAACGCGACTAGATGATCGAATCAAAGTATTCCGAATACCAATCACTGTTCGAACGATGTAACAACCTTATCGTCGCTCGAAACTCTTAATCGCGAATTATCAAAGTGTCAATTACGGAATTATCGGAAATTCGACGAATGATGTAACGGATCTATTTTAATTTATATTATCATCGCCGAAGAACTACAATTTTCAGCCTATCGTCGATGGAAAGTCGACGAAACACGAAGACGAGATAGAAGTTCAACAGGTAAAACGTAATCATCGAAGAAACGGAGCAAAGTCCAGGGGATGATGACCTTTACGGATGAGGTCACGATATCGATCAATGACCAGATCGATCGGATCTTTTACCTCTAATCATCGTCTAGACGATTGAACAAGCTTATCGTTGCTCGACAATAAAATCATTTTCCAGATGATATCGCGATAACCGAGCCGATGGTTATACGAACGACGGACGATTAGGATCAGTAACATGTCAGTTTCTTGTATCTATTCGTGTAATTGCGCGTAAAAAATTTTCTTCAATTACATCGAACCGAAACAGTCGGAGTTGCTTCGAATATAAAGTAGAAGAAGTAAAAGAAACGGAATGGATCACATTTGTCACTGCCATTGGATCCCTTTACTTTTCAAATTCGATCGAGTGACAATCCATACGAAAAGGAAACAACGCGAAGGTCAATTTACTGAAAAGGAAAAGGATAACGATATAATCTGTTCCTCGAGTTGCACTCTTCGACGTTTCGCCAAATACATAGTCTTCTTTCCGAATGAAATTTTTAATAATATTCCTATTCAACAGGAATGAGTTCTCAGTCATCGACGTTCTCAGACAAATCGAAGCAAGAAGAAACAAACAATACGATATGGACTGTTTTTAAAGTTTCACGGTGTTCAACATCGACTCCAGCGATTCTTTGGTTCGACTTAAACGTCGGTTCAATTCCCAGGCATTCCCAGTGTCCCTCTAATAAGGTGGAAACGGCATGCTCGAATTCGGGGAACAAAAGAGTCGGGCAGAAAGCTGGAAGCACGAACGGAAAGAGAGGCAACGCACGACGACGCGGGCGACACAGGGAGGAAGTGACGTCACGGCAAAGTAACGAGCCTCGCTTAACCGCGATAAGCCGCTAATCGCGCGATCTTAATGAACTCCTCCCATTAACGCTCCCGAGGCCGCGACCGGCAACGTTCGACGAAACCCGCTCTTTTTCTCTCTATTTGCCTGCTTTCGATCACCCTCGTCGAATCGAGGGAACCGGCCAACGGGATCGCGGTGATCGATCGCTGCAAAATTTTTGGAAGAAGACTTCAACCTCCGAATAGTCGCTTTATTAATATTTGTGACGACAACGCTTCGGTACGGATGCATTCTTAATTTCTTTAGCGATTGATTTCTTTAGCGTGTATCGTGGTTTTAGCATTCTCAATCTCCACGAATTATTTCAACCAATGACCACTTACTTGCCAAGGAAAGGATTTCCGCCCTCGGCTGACTGGCTCTCCGCTGTCGCCACAGCAGTATACTCATCGCGACGATGATATCCACTAGAGATCACAACACACGCATCGAACCTTCATCGACCCGTCGCTTCGATTTTCGATTTTCTCGAACGCGCTCGGGCTCGACCACGCGCGATTCCGGGTGAATCAACTTCGCGCAACTGTCGACACGCTCGCGATTCCAAGGTGGCCCGATCGAGCGCCGATCAGATTGATCACGTTCCGAGAGATCACGAAGAGATACGACGCCACGTCACGAGCTCGTGACTGTGCCGCGATCGCGAGAACAGATTACGATTTCGTTTCTATCGCGACGCATCGGTTGCATCGCAAACATCGATCTCTGTTTATCCAAGCGCACCTCGGTGCTCGCGATTTCGCGGTATCCGCAGTTCTGTCACGCTTCGACGATCACCGGCGTTTATGGTAGCGGCGATGAACGTTTACCAAAGCTTGCACTGACGCGACAACCTCGCGAGCTTTGAATCCACGACTATCGTCATCTTCATCGACCATCATCATTGTTATCTTTGTGGTGCCAGTATTTTTAGACTTCCATCTTCTCTAATTAGATTGTGTTAATAGTACGTGGACGAGGTTGATCATCCCTGAAGGGTCTCGCAGGACGGCCGGATCTTCTAAAGTTTGAGATAGAAGTAGCTGTATGACTATTCCGAGTCTGTTCTTGTTGTTCCCAGGAATATCTTGTGAATGGATCAAACGATGATTGCAATCTTCATATCTATTTAGCGCTCTAGTCACTGTTTTGCAATTCGTCGTAATACCAAGACCAGCGGTTCTCTTTTTGTTGCCTGTTTGTAGGCACTCTTAGAAGGTGGTACTCGAGGTGAGCCAATCGGTTATAGCTGTTAACATTTGGCAAGCATCTTCATTAAATTCAGTCGACATTCCACAAAGCTCCAACTACTTCTTAACCGTGTGCCTCTTAGATTCACTTAGATTCGCCATTTCTTACATTCTTTAAAACAGACCAGAAACACGTAGCAATCCCCTTTACAACTACCTAACTATCCTTCTCATATTTTTATAATGTTTTCAGAACGGTCCAAAAAATCTTAGAATCATTTAAATTCACCTTTTCTTAGATTTTTCAAAACGCACTGACCAGAAACACGTAGCAATTCCCTTTCCAATTACCTAACTATCCTTCTCACATTTTTATAATGTTTCCAGAATGGTCAAAAAAGAGAGCCAACAAACAATACTCGGTAATTTCCGGCCAGCATTTATAACATTCAACAGGTCTCCTTTTATCCTCCTCCAATCCCTCAAAGCACCGGTCCAGTTTCGGCGCAACAATCCCCTTTTTATTTATCTTCAAAGCCAACCGCTCAAACACCAGCTAACCACTCGCGGGCCTCGTCATCCTCTCCCAATTCTTCAAAATACACTGACCAGGGATCCCCAGGGTCCCGGCCTCGATGTCCCCTATCTTCTCCATGATCCGAAAGGGGTGGATCGAACGGATCGGCTCGGTTCACCCTCGGCGACAACGGAATTCCAGGGCAACAACGATCCTAATTTTCGACGGGTCGCCCACGTGGGGCCACCAGGAGGCTCGATAGGCCGATTGTCGTCGTTGTAGCGGCGTACGCGGGAATAAACGAGCCGCGCGGATAATCCGCGTATCGCGGCCTGCCCGTGCCCGCTCCGACAGCTCCGGGGGCGACTCTTATCGGTGGCTCGTTGCCCGATAAGCCGGCACGATCGGCATCTTATCGATCGCGCACACGCGCGACCGGAAAACCGACGGCTAATTGCGCGAACGCTGACAATTAGGAAGCTCGGTTCGGCCCGGCGAAATTTTCGTCACGGCTGGGCTGCGGCCCGCGTCTGATAACGCCTGACACCTGAACGCCGATAAGAGTAATTGAATGAGGTCGACGGCCACGAGCTAGGCTCCAATTCTCGATCACGATCCGGCCAAGTTTTCAGAATTTCTGCGAGTCCGTGGAGCGACGTAGTTCTCTCTCGTTCCCTTTTTTTTCGGGGAAAAGATGCGCGAGGTTGGCGAGGGTTCGCAGCGGTTGGGTGCAGGTTTCGGGTTTCGTAGATACTTCTGGTTGAGACAGGTTTCGCGTAGGTTTGGATTCCGAGGAGAGGAGGGCTTTGGTGTTGACGAGTTCTCAGAGCAGTGCTTGGTGGATGTTGAGTGAAGATTGGAGAATAGCGTCGTCTTGTATGAATAGCTTCAGTTCTTTCGCAGATGGCGAGTGTTCGGAACAGTGGTCCTCTGTAGGTATCCAATAGAAATTCGCAAACAGTGTCGTCCTTCGCCTCCTTAGCTTCTCGTACTATCCTTCCAATAGAAATGAAAATGATTTAAAAAATGTATCGCGCGAGAAATACACATATCAGAGGTCGTGTCCAACAAATCCTCCTCCAAGCTCTACTAAAAGCTTTTCAAACCAGGTGTTCCACTTCGATTTCAAAGTAGACTTTGATCACTGATTAAAAATTCCTCGTGTCTTCGATGTATTATAATAATAACGCAACAGCGGTTCAAGACCATTGATTCGATCTTCTTCAAAAATTATCCTCCGTCTAATTCGCCTGGTTTAACGAAGACAGCTGTCCCGCTAGTTATTACCGAGATGCGTCACAAAAATCATCTCCGGGCGTTGAATTCTCGACACGCGAGAAACCTCGTGCACAGTATGCGCACATTTTACGTCATAATACAAACGACCGTGCTCTATCTCGCCCGGTGCACGTAAATCGCGCTCTATTCCTTAATAGCGCGATCGTGCTTTATTTCGCACTGCGAGCGATTGTGATGTATTTCCCGATGGGAGATGTCGGTGTGCGCGGGTTACCTTCCGAGACGATCGTGCCCGTAGCGGTGTGCTCTGAATTCTCCGAGGAAACGCCTGCTCTATTCTCCGTCGTAAAACGATCACACTTTCTTCCGTAATACGAGCGCGTTCAACTTTCCCGGACCCGAAGAATGGCTGCCCTTTGTAGTACGAAACGCACACCGGCGCACCTTCCTGCACCGTTTCATACTTTGCCACACGGTCGTTAAACCAAATCTCGATGCTTCACTCTCGCTGCAAAGGTAGAGACCCTTTTGGGTGGCAAGTAAATCGAAATTGAAGTTGAAAACTGGATTTCTATAGGTTCGTAGGTTTGAGTAGGCTTCTAGGTGGAATCAACACCTCCGAATCAGTGATTAAAAAGTTTGTTGATAAAAATTCTTAGTTGAATCTCAGGTGGTTGTAACGGGAACGATTCAGTAGGATCGTACTGATCAGTTTTCTCGATAATTAAACGTAAAGATCCTTTAAAGGTAAAGATTAAAAATTCAAGTCCCTCCAAATATGATCCAGCTTGGCCAAACGCGAATACCTCGAAACTGGGTAACAAAGATCGATCACAGTTGACGCGACGATGATCCTCCCAGAGGGACTTTTCGAGTCTCCAGGGGGATTCCCCGGCCTTAACGCGGAGGCCACCGACTCGTAGGCTCGCGATTAGCTCCGGAGACGCTTTCGACGAGGCAGACAAGCTTCTTCCGACAGACTGTTTAAAAGCGAGGGTAAGACGTAACCGCAGCGAGATGCTCGCTGCTGCGGGGAAGCACTATCACTGGTTTCCAAGCGGCCCGGAGACCCATGGCAATGGCTACCTGTTATCACGCTCCTCTCTCTCCGCTTCCGTCCCAGCCTGCTTTTCTCGTTCTCTCTTTATCCGCCTCTTCGCGTTCTGTTACCTCACGATAATACCCCGGCAAGCATTCCGCGCTTTTCCCTTTCGCGTATACCGAGAGCCGTTTAGAGACGAGCTGATTCCGTCAAGGCACGACACATTTAAGGGAAGCGATCGTTTTCGTATTCGACGATTCTTCTCGTCGATGTTTCAGCATTTCTTTCGATTTAGGGCCAGATTCGAAGGGCTACTTAGCTTGGCATGTTTCATTCAAGTCTTGTTGGAAATCGGATGCATCGTAGAAATTCTTCTCGTACTTCTCGTACCAATGTAATTTAACTTTTAGGATCAACTATTCCGTCGCAAGTTGACGAATACGTCTTAATTATGTAACGTCTCCGATAACTAATAACAATATTAACGACATCTAGCAGCACACCTGAAATATCGAAGTCTGGCAGAACAAATATTCAGTCCATAGAGGGTCAATATCCCAAATTTCGTTCTATCGCTTCTAGCTGGGTTATGTTAGCCAAGTTCGCGCCAGTAAACAACGCTCTCATTGTACCCTGTTTCCTATCGACGGAAGCGTTCCCCGATCGCACAAATTATAACGCCGTACACGAAGAAAAGAACGGTGGCGAGGTATACATGCACATATCGCGTCATTGGCAGACTTGGGGGCACCAAACCACCTCTTGTCATTGGCGTCACGAAGCTTGAACTTCGCCGATAGCGCGGCCCGATAACAGATGGCGATAACGGCCCGCGATACCCGTAACGCGGCACAACGGGCTCCGTGACTAATGGCGATAACGATAAGGACGATCGTAAGACACGTAGGGAACGGCTGTATCTAATAACCGTACTCTTTGTCTCGATTCGGCTATCGCCGACGGCTCGTTTCGGCGCTCGCGATTAGATTTTACAATATTCGCCTCGACTACGACGGAAAGAGCGACTCGCGAAAACGTTGCCACTTGTTTCCGCACCGGAAACTTGCGATTAGCTGCGAATACCGAGGACTACAGAAAGTTGTTGGAAGATTCTTGTGCGCTCTTTATGTTTCGGAGTGACGTTCGAGCGTGGATTGTTGAAAGTGTTGAAAGTGCTGGGTTAAAAGATCCTTTGAGAACATCGGTACGGAGTGTTTTGAGTGTTCTTTGACGTCGATTAGGTTACTCCGTTTTTCGGAATAGCTCGAGACCGTTGAACCTGATGCATTGAAACGATATGAGTGAACTGAATCGTTGTGCTGGAACAGTCATATCTTGTTTGCGTCCGAGTGACGCGAGTCAACTGAAAAATGAAAACTCTTTAGAACACTCCTCCGTGCCCTCACCCCGTCAAACCTTTGATACGTTTACTTAAACGTCCTGTTTAAAGTATCTCAAGATTACCGAACTTTGGGCGCGTTTAAAGCGAACCACCCACCGCAAGAAAAATGAACGTCTCGGAACTGCTGCATCGTCGCGAATCGCGTATAACCTTGATTCGCGGAATGATTGACGGGAACGTCTAATTACGCACCCATTTGTCCCGTCCAGCTCAGCTAATAGACATATCTCGCCACTTTCTCCCCCGTTCGATTCGTTTTCTGTATCGCGACGGGCATTTATCATTTCGATTTTCGCTCGATCGACGTTACGCAACGGGGACTAACCCGCTCCGCGATATCGTTCCACCGGTCGTGCGCGATGACTGCGAGAGCGGATAATTATCGTTCGCGCGATCGCTAATTACCTGCCAATAAATTATCGTCGGCAGCCTTGCAGGTTCGTCGCGGACAACCAGTCGTATCCGCACTTCCTGAATTTCTTTTTAATTAGCCCGCGACGAATGATTTATGACACCGAAGACTGCTGCGACCACTTTGGACTACCGGTTCAATTGGCTCCTTACATATTTCGATAATATGTCCGCGAGCCTGACGGCGTATGCATGTAGACTCCGTAATAAGAACGCGCCAAAAATCTTGTTCCCAATTTGGGGACATGTAGCATCGAGGGAACAAGGAAGCTCGAGAATGCAGGACTTGTAACATCAAGTGGCGAGTCAAGTGTCTGGTAATATTAAAATACTGGTAAATCCTTTCGTCTCATCTCTATGGCACATGCATTGTAGATATCGGCTGATACGATTGCATGAGCTTAGTTACTATGTCAACGCGTGTCGCGAAGGACTTGTACAGGGTGAAGTAATGACATTATTAATAATCCTGAGAAGAAACTCGATAGGACACAGTTGGACTGTTACCAAGGCATTTCCAATGGTAGAACATAAGACCACCCCAACTTTAATTGTTCCCTTTTGAAACCACAGTTCCCACAAACCCCTGACCAAACCCCCAAAACAAGTCCATCCTCGGTAATTGACGCGTCATATAAAGATCCAGCCGTCCTCGATAGCCAGCTTCGCAAACGATCGAGGGTCGACTAGCCATCGTATTAACAAGACTAAACGAGATCGTTGAACGCACCACCGGCCGAAAGCGTGAAAAAGCGACGAAGGGACAAGAGATTCCGCGTAATCGTGGCAAGAGACGTCTGAACGAGGAGGATGGATGATCGACGCGGTGTCGGTGACCGTCTCTTCTTCGCGTACCCCGAAACAGAGAGCAAAGTCAGAGAGAAAGAGAAAGAGAGAGAGAGAGAGAGAGAGAGAGAGAGAGAGAGAGAGAGAGAGAGAGAGAGAGAGAGAGAGAGAGAGAGAGAGGGAAAGGAGAGGATAGCTCACTGGCGCCGCGTTATCTTATTCGTTAAGATCCTCCAGGCGGCGAGGCGGGGAGAAACAGATCCAACAGTGGTCTCACTGTCTCACAAGATTCTCTCTTGTTCCTCAGCTTCCCTCCTTTCGTGGAGTGTACCAAGGGTCCCGGGGGAGGATATCCAGGAACGGCTCTTCGAGTCTAGACGACGCGAGAGATAGCGCTCTCGCTCCTTCCCTCGCCTGCTCTCTCCGCTCGTATCCTTTTATCTCGCTACTACTCTCATCTGTCCGAGGAGATGGACGGGGATAGCCGGTCGCTCGTGCCGAAGTCACGGCCACCGATTCGTGAAAGCGTGGATGATCGAAACGCTCGACCATTATTCTTGTAAACCGAGCATTCGGGGGCGAGGCAGTCATTTCGGAATTATCACGGGAGAGACGATGGGCGCGGGATCATCGTCGATCGTGTGCTGAATTTCAGATCGAGCCTCGATGGGAGGGTGGCAACCCCCATCCCTGTTGCCGGCGCGATTCATCGAGCCTCGAGGCTGTTCCGACCGAGCCATTCATAATCAGTGACCTGGCCAAGTGACATGCCATCGAAGATGCATTGTAAGCAATGCGGATATCCGGCTAGAGTTTCGCCGAGGCTGACGACTGATCATTGGGCATCATTTTTCCATTCGTCGCTTGGTTTATGTATCATGCTCATTTTTACCCATTTCATCTTTCCCTTCTCCCACGCAAAAATAAGAGTTACACAGCTTTGGCAACGGGTGTCCCATAATTGTAGCTGTTTTATGAGTGAAGTACGCTCATACTTCATTTAGGTCTCTCTAGATCAGACTGAAAAGTTTTGATTCCACGTTCTTGAAGCACACGATGTATACAATTACGCGTCGTAAGACCCGGTATCTATCGCCTTAGTACATCATACGTAGTCTTTCCGTCATGGCTGCCGCGCACGCGAGACGATTCGAACCCGTTTTCCTGTGTTCGCACCTGAAATAACCGGTGATAACTTACACCGCTGTATCAACTATCGCTCTATCGCCACGAATCCAAAGAAAACATTTGGGAAGCGACAACTGTTAAAGAAGAGAAATTTAATTAACATTCCGGGATTAATCTTCGGTCTTCAACGCGATCGAGGACACGGAGGAGGGATGATCGATCGGGCAGCGATCGCGTGAGTCATTCGCGTTTCAAGAATTTCGTGGAATTTCCATCGTGCGTGGTCTCCGCGGATGAATCTGAGGGCTCTTTCAGACGAAACACTCGGTGACTCGCGACTTATGTTCGGGACACCACCGCTAAGTAGGCTGTCGCTGAAATATCGCCACTTTAACGTCA